TAATGGTGAAAAGCCTTTCAGTCAACGGCGGTTTGAGGAATGATTGATGTAGTATACTGTTGAATCAATAATGATGAGTCAGCTGATGCAAGTGATAAGATAATCTCTGAGGTAGAATCTGGTGACATTGTGACGCGCGATGAAGGGGACGAAGCAATAAATTATTATAGAATGAATAATATCCTGCTCTGTTCTGTATTATGTTTTGTGTAGTTTACATTCGAAGTGTGAAATGTAGATTACACGCTCACCATCAGATAGTGGTCAGATTATTATGCACTTGATCATTGATTAACGTTATAAATTCGTATAATTCGTATAAATACGGATTGATTTAACTAGACAAAGCTGACAGACTGACGACACATGGCATGGTGCTGGTTGGTTGGTATTATGAAGGAAAGTGCTGTTTTGTATACGATTCATATCGTACAATGAATACGATGGACGGACGAAGGGCTGATGAGTTATGGTTTATGTGAATTATTATGGTAAATGATTGGTTAGGAATTGTAAATGGTTATGAAATACGAACGGTGGTATTCATTATTGATCAATATGGCTTCGCATACAGTTAGAGGATTGTGAACAGTTTGGGATAATTTATGAGCGATGGTGGCTGGAGGACAAATTGTGAATGAGATGAATTTTGATTGGAATTCGTTTTTTGATTTGTTCTGTGATAGAAGGGAATGGGAGAATTATTTGCGTGATTGGTCATTGTGAACAGAGCTGAATCGAATGGAATTGCCGAGAAAAGAAGCGTATTGTAAAGAGTAGTGGATATGTGGAGATATTGAAAGGACAGTTTCGATTTTGATCTGACTTCACGTTGATTTCGACTTCTTTGATAAATTGATTAATTTTGAAATGAATCCTACAAAATGTACAGCAAAATGTCGAACTTGAAAGTTTTCATGACCAGTGATCATAAGCTGGTTGATATTTGATGGTAAGAATGATTTTGAGAAAGTGAGAGGATCATCACTGAGTTGGGTGGACTTGAACTTAAACAGAAATGGATGGATGTGATAATGGATTAATATAGGGAAAAGTCATGACAATTTCTTGCTTAAGCTGGCTTAATTCTAATCTGAGAAAGCTCATATGGACTTATAATTAGATATGAATGTACTTTATGATTAGACATACGGATGTACAGAATTTTCTATGCATTTGAAAGGATTCAGAAGAAAATAACGAATAGGAATGCAAATTGTATGAAGGGCGTTTCATTTCTGGTTTGAGTTATGCTTTTTATAAGTGTTCGACGTCTCAGAACGGATCAAAAACAACTGAAAGAGTTTTGCCTTTTATTCATTTGGAAAGGTCGTTCGTATATATGATTCATCACAGCAATAGATGACATCAACATTAATGACAGTAACTATGATATCATTGGAAAAGGAATATTGGAAACAGATGAATGATACCGATGATAATAAACGATAAGAATACCAACAACAAGAGATGAAAATTCACCAGAGTAAACTATGAAAGTGGGTGTAAGAATATATATTCATATGCAAAAATTTCCTAAATACCATTAAATTACTGATCACTGATAATAATAGTGACAACGGAAATAATAACAATAATAAAAGTAATTATAATACATGAGCTAGGATTAAATCTGTCGCACATAACAGACAAAACAACATGATGTTATACGTCGTCAGCAACACGTTTAAGCTATTTCAATTGCCACAGCTAAACATTTATACGTATCACAAAAATTCATACGTCATGTTGAAAAAANAAAAAACGACGAAATGAATATAGAAATAAATAATCGACGATCATTTAACGAACAATCATAACAAAAGAAAAATATAATGATGATGAAATATTCTCCACAAAAATAGAGAATAGCTGAATGCTGAAGAAACTGAGTACACCGAGACATACGCATGAATGAAAATATTGATAGTTTTGTTGCATTAACCCAGTAATTTCACCACTTATCACAGTTGTAACGGAATAACAGTAAGTGAAAATAAACGTGAACATAAATGACATAAACGTGAAGTGGCAATTCACGAAGAAATGAACATTATTATGCCCAATACCATTATTATTATCACATAATAAAGTGAAAACTTGAATGACGAGGAGTTTCGATAGATTGGAAGGTAGATTCAATCTTTATTGGTCTCGCCAGCCAATCGAAGAACTTCAGCCAGGACATCGAAAATGATCACGGGTTTCGGGAAATCATTATCCACCAAAGTGACTAGACAAAATTCATCGTGGATTCGCGTTAAAAGTTTGCGACTTGAAGAGTCGTCTGGGTATATAGTGGCCCAGTTCATCCAGGCCTCGTAGGCCTCATCCTTCCAGTAGCGGAACGACAAGGGATCCACAACAGTGGGTTGTGCGATTTCACAACCGGGGAAGACACCCCAGGTTATAGCTATAGGCGTTGTGGCATCCGCATTGCTCCAGTCGATTGAACCCTGAAGAAACGAAAAGTTGTTCTGGTTAAATTATTGTTATGTGGAGTGTTTTTGCCACTGACAGCACTACTATTGTGAATTGTTATTACTTTTACTATATGAATATTTTCACCATTATTTCTAGTCATAATGATGAATATATTCAAACTGAAGATTAAAAATTAGACTCAATCTAGAAAATGAAACGGAACGGAACTCACATTGTGGTTGATGATCGTACAGCTAAGACGAGGGTAGTTTGGCAGAATACGCCGTAGAATCTCGACATTCTTTTGGCTTGTGAAGAACTCGAGGTAGCCCTGAAATCGGATTTTTTTAAAAATTTTATCAGAACTCAACGCTTTTTGGAAAAAACCTGATCAGTTTGTGTAATATATTCATGGATAGCGTTTGACAAGTTAGTGATGTTATACAATAGATAGAAGTAATTTGCGCCACAAAATCAAACATGAAGTAGAATATTATCTAAGAACTAATATTTTGTTATTGTAATAATTTTGGGCATAGAATAATTCACAGTAAATTACGCTTGTTTCACCAACGTTATTTAATTATTGGAAAGTCTGAAATTCAAAGAATTATCACCCTCAAATCGAACCTTTTGATAGCAATAACCGCCCGGCTTTCCCCATCCCACTTGTGGATCAGTACTTGGCGCACCATTAACCGCAGGTTGACTATTTACAGTTAGAATACCATTTTCGTTACACCATACTAACTGGTCTTTGATGAGGCTAGTTTCGGCGTCTATATCTTGTTCGTTCCATGGTAAACGAGTGACCTGAAAATTTGTTTTGAAGCATGAAAACGGGCGATATGATAGACTAATTGAATACAATGCGATAAGTCGTTAAGCAGGCGACTTTAATGTGATCAGCACATGTGTGAGCGCGTACTCAAAGTGTGGAGAAGGACTGGAATTATTGAAAAATTGAGCGCATAGAAATCAGATCAACGAATGCTTATTAGTGGGGTTGAGGGATTGATCGACAGAAATGGTTCGTGAGGAGAATTTTTTCCGTTGGAAATTTTTCATAGAAAATGTTTACCTTGACATTCTGTTCGTTTGGTTTCTGCGTGATGAAGTTGACGAAAACTTTGCAGATTGCTTCGAAACTCTCCAACTGTGCACCGTACATACGCAGTTGATCGTCACGAGTCGGTTGACCTTTCAGGTAGAATAGGTAATAGTCAGCCAAGTCATTGAATGCTGGCGATGAACTATTACCCCAACGACCGTTCGGGAATTGATCCCAATCCTGAAATTTTTGATGATCAGAGATGATTCGATAGGCGAATGAGGGAAGAGGATATCAACCGTCAAATAATTCAATGATCAGTATCAGTCACTAACTGGTTGCTGATTTGATTCGAGTGTTGACTTGACATAATTTGAATCTGATCCAAGTTTAATAGTGATATATTCACATCTCATCTAAGATCGATCTGAACTTATTGATGTCTCTACACCACTTTTTTGAAAACTGTTCTATTCTGTTCGTTTGGGCCCAAAAACGGCTCTATTCTATTCAAACTGTTCCTTCCTCATTTGCGAACTGTTCCATTGTATTCTATTCTACCCCCTTAAACTGTGCTATACTGTTCTAACTGTTCTATTCTGTTCCGTCAGACAGAAAAGCGACACGATAAAAATTGTGGTAATTAGGGTTCGAAACGTGGCTTTTTGGCATTTGCAGTGGAAAATGGAGATTACTT